TGAAGTTAATTTTCCGGCTGTAATGACTAAAGTTACTATGGAGGATTATTTTGGCCATTTTTATGAAAAAGAATCTATATTTTATTAGTAACAAATATTTTAAATATAATTTTTCATAAGTCACCAGAATCAGTCTATCCAACCACTCCAGCCAGAATTTCATAAATTTCAGTAGAATCAACCGATACAACCAATTTCAGTGTTATCAAATGAGATCACAATTATAAATTATGGAAATTTTGTCGTGTTCAATTATAACTCATCAGGGCCCCACCAAAATATAATGTCATGTTTATTTTAATATGGTGTAGCTTTTTTATTTGCACTCCAATTGTTACAAAAAATGTATCAAAATTCACAATTTTTTATGATCTTTCATATGACACGAATGTTAAATATATAAAAATAAAAAATAATTTAACACTTTAAAACACCTGTCTTGTAGAAAAAATAAAATTGGAGTTGATTTTCTGGCTGTATTGGCTGAAGTTATCATGGGGGATTATTTTAGTTATTTTTCATAAAAAAATACTCCGTATTTATTTTGTTAGCAAAAAAAATTAAATCTAATTTTCATAAGTTAACAGAATCAGTCTATTCAGTCACTTCAGCCAGAATTTCATAAATTTGAGTAAAATGCCGATTCAACCATTTTCAGTGTTATCAAATGAGATTGCAATTATAAATTATGGAACTTTTGTCGTGTTAAATTATAACTCATCATGGCCCCACCAAATATAATCTCATCTTTATTTTAATGTGGTATGAATTTTTTATTTGTGATCCAATTGCTACAAAAAATGTATTAAAAAATATAAATAATTTATAAGTGTTGTAACATTTTTATTTATACTCCGGTTGTTACAAAAAATATATCAAATTAATAACTTTTTATTATCTTTAATTGACACCAATATTAGATACATAAAATTAAAAAATAATTTAACACCTTAAAATAACATCTGTTTTGTAAAACTTCTATAACTTTTTAATTTATACTCCGATTGTTACAAAATATATATCAAAATTCCTAACTTTTTATTATTTTCCATATGACACCAATGTTGCATATATAACAATAATAAAAATTAATTCTATTTTTATATATGCAAGATAAGAAACTGCACATATTAATAGATATTTTTTATATATGCAACATTGGTGTCATATGAAATATTGTAAACAGTTATAAATTTTTATATTTTTTTGTAACAATCAGAGTTTAAATAAAAACGATATATCACTTTAAAATACAAATGTTTTTTAAAGTATTAAACTAATTTTTATTTTTATATATTCAATATCGGTGTCATATGAAATATATTAAAAAATTATGAAATTTAATATATTTTTTGTAACAATTAAAGTACAAATTCAAAAGTTATTTTAGTTTAAAATAAACATGGGATTTTATTATTTGAGTTGCATAGTTTTAAGAAGTTTTTTTTAAAGAGGACGTAGGATTCCAACTTAGAGATTAGTCATAAATTAACGTAACATCAGTTCTAATCTAAGTTAAATACTAATGTATGGGAAGAATAATTAACGAACATACCAAATTAGAAAGGGAATTTAGAATTTTATAATTAATGTTTCCTTAGAAGATGACACATGGCAAAACTTTCCATAATTGTATCTTTAAAATGTATCATCTATAGATAGATAGATTGATCTCATATGAAAGAGAATAAAAAGTTATAAATTATGGTATATTTTTTGTGACCATCAAAGTACAAATTGAAAAGTTATAGCACTTAAAAATAAATATGAGATTTTATTTTTCGAATTACCTTAGCTTTGAATTAAACGTAAGATGAGTTCTAATCTACCTTTAATACTAATTAGGATGTTTTCTTTTGGACTGAAATTTGTTGGTCTGGTCTGGTCTGGTCTGTTTAAGTCTGGTCTGGTCTGGTCTGGTCTGTTTAAGTCTGGTCTGGTCTGGTCTGGTCTGAACTGGTCTGGTCTGGTCTGGTAAACGTCTGGTCTCTGTGTATTTTATAACTACGGAAGTCTGGTCTGGTCTGGTCTGGTCTGTTTAAGTCTGGTCTGGTCTGGTCTGGTCTGTTTAAGTCTGGTCTGGTCTGGTCTGGTCTGTTTAAGTCTGGTCTGGTCTGGGACTGAAAACAGTCCAAAAGAAAACATCCTTAACGGAAGTATAGTTTATTTACTAAATTGGAAAGAAAATCTAAAATATTATAATGAAAGTTTGCTTAGAAGATGACACATGGCAAAACTTTCCATAATTGTATCTTTCAAATGTATTATTTATAGATTTCTTTGAAACACTTGTCAATTGAATCATTTACTTTACTGGTTTTATGTGTTTTATGTTATTTATATCCACGTGATGGATATAAATAACATTTAAATTATACGGAGTAACTTGTTTAATTTTTTGAATTATAAAATAACAGCCTCAAATATTTTTACGCACATAGATAACCCTTTCAGCTTTTTCTCTTTTTACGCACATAGCTAAATTATGTGATTTTGCGGATTCCTTCTTCCTCTTTGCTATTCCTTTTAGTGTCCCTTCATTTTGCGGATTCCCCTCTATCACGAGGGGCACCAAATTATAAGAAGTATTATCCAAAACGTAAGAAAAATTACTCCGTAACAAATACTTCCTCCGTTCTTTTTTAGTTGCAACAGTCAACATTTAATATTTGTCAACGCACGTCTTTGACCGTAATTATATCTTAATCTCTATTAGTTAAAAAAAAATTAAAAATCGGATTCTGAAACTTTGTAATGAGATGAATTGAATAGTGTAAGAAACGGAGAATAGTGTAAAATTAGAGTCAAAGTAGAGTCTGTGAATAGTGTAAAATTTAGTCAAAGAAACTGAGAATAGTAAGAGTTTACCTTAACATGGGACGTCTCTCTTTGCATTTTCTTCTGAAATGCAGTCCTCATTCAGTTTAAACTTTAAAATGGTAAAGTAAAATCCTCACTTTTCTATGAACCATTATTTGGCACTTGAGCTAAGCACATACATCACTTTCTATTCTACCAAAATACCAAATTCATGTCTATAGGAAACCCATCACCGTTCTGTTCAATCGTGAATATGCTTGAAAACGCTTAAGTTGATGACTACTCTTTAAGTAATAAAATAGTCCTACCTGATTTATCTTTTCCTACCAGTTTCTGACAAATTCAGCTATTTTTTAAGTTCTTGGCCTGCATTATTCAAACATAAATGTTGCATTTAAAATACTGTCCACAATGCAAGTATTATTATCATACTCCCTCCGTCCCGAAAAGTTCGCCAAATTGACTTTTCTTGGTTAATGAGAATCAACTTTGACTAATGATATTTTTTAATACCAATTTAATTTGAATATGAAGATTATATCAAAATGTTCTTATAATTAAAATGATTGTCCAAAATTTGTCATCATTGACCAATAAAAGTTAATATGGAAAACCTTTTCGGGACGAAGGTAGTATTTACTATTGATAAGTATATACATGCGTTAAGTGTGTACTACACTTAAAAAAATACAGATGTAAAGTGTTTTTGTTCACATATTACTTACTCTGTACGTAGTATTTAGAGAATCCATTTTTAGAAACTATAATTAATTTAATAAACCATCATCTTAGTTTTTTACGTGCTGAATTAAGAAAATGAAAATATTGAAATCATCTTAGTTTTTTTTTTTGAAATCATCCTCACTTGGTAGACTCCATTCTTTCCCATTATTTGCAAACTAAGAGTACCAGAAATTATGTCTAGTCTCAACACCATTATTTCCCCAACTACCCATAATTAACCCAGCCTTATTAAAACAAAAGCAACGTAAAATTGTACTAACCGGGACACAATTGTAAATTGCAGCAACTGTTGTAGAACATTTTTATGAATTCAGTCTGAAATAGGGATTCAATTGTAACAATATATATATCGGAAATGTTAAATGTAATCGTCATTGAATGTACCTCTATATCATGATAAATGCACTCCAATGCTTTAGTCATGTTATTTTCGAGAAGCTGGACTTCGGTATACACACACCGTAACAGCAGTCTCACTGGTAGATCGACATTTGTAGTGCCCGGTTCATCTTAGAGATTTTCAGCTCTTAGACTCGATCTATATAGAATAATAGAACAACATCATAAGATATCCATGACAAACTAACAATTATTCAAATTATTATGTAATACTACTACGTAACTCAGATAGCTAAACAAAATATTTGACGCTACAAAAAACTAAAGTAGGTGAAAACACTACTCAGTATTATTGAATAGTTGGAGTTTCACGTATAAAAGTTTTCCCAATTAAGCTGTGATGATGGCTAAAGAAGGCAATTTATAGTTTAATGAGCCCCATTTTTACAGGGATGTTCGTGGAAACTGTCTGGGGTAACCACCATTACGTGCAAGATGGAAACGGCAATCCTGAAGTTTTGCTGGCACGTGTATCCATTGATCATATTTAACGTGTTATGCTTTTTGTAGTGCGTGTATCTGATCTTCTACATTTTTGCGAGGATTGCCACGTGGTTTCTAATCGCAATGTGTTGCTTCAATAACTACTCCGCATAATGTAATTCATTTGTGCTTCGGTAAATTCTAGCCGGGAACAGTTTTGTTCACACGATCGAGTTTTTATATATATAAAGATAAAGATTACTTAATTGCACCATTCAAAATTCCTATCATTTGAAAATGTAATGCATCATACACGATTTCAAATGTAAATACAATATCCTAGATTTACTGATTAAGTTTATGAATTATTTTAACCATTTTATCATTTATTGATTAAAAAGCAGGGAGTAGAACATTAAACAATAAAAATATTACTACGTACTTTTTTAGTGTTTTTACAATAGAATACTTTCTAAATTGTCTTCTTTGTCTGATACGAAAATTGCAGTTCTTAATAAATCACACCATGAGCATGCTCTTGAACACGGTTTAAATAAAAAATGAATGGAACATCTTCTAAATGAATAAAAAGAGCTCCTAATATAGTGTTGGGACGAGAATTGTTACTAGGATGGCCCATGTTCCACACGTGTCCTATTTTTGTTATTGTTCATCAATTAGAAGAGACAAAGCCCACGAGAGGATAAGAAAGATGGATAAGGATGGATTAGTAAATGGAAAACAAATTGCTGATAGGAGTGGGCAACTACTTTCACGTAACAAGGGGAGTGGGAGCTATTCTGGCGGACAGTTGGACAACACATGGAGATTGGGATTTTAGTTTAAATAGGAGATCATTTCTTACGATCAAATGGATTGACCAGCACTATAGAGAAATCAATCGAATTCATCAATTCAATATTTACTTTCTGTTATTAATTCTTGTTATATTTTCTTGTACGATTCCCTTTCGATTATTTAATTGTTAGAAGAAATTATCAATTTCTTGTCTAAACAATTTGGCGCCCACCGTGGGGCATCGTGCAAGAAAAAGATCACATATGGAAGGAGCAAATCAATTGTTGATTGAATTCCATGAGCAATTAGAGACGGTCCGAGATGAAATCCGGCGCGAGATGGCGGAGAAGATGGCTCATCTCCAACGGGAAAATGATGTACTTCGGTCCCAGGTACAGTCTGCGGTGTCAATAGCCTCAAAGTCAAAGCTCAACCGGAAGAGTGACACAATGACTGCCGTAACACGACTGGATCTTTGTTTCTCCCCAGCAGTGACGGATCCACCCGCAACATCGACGGATCCACCAGCATCATCGACGGATCCAGTCTCTCTTACATTGGGTCTGTCACCGACACCGACTGGGGAGCCATGCTCAACGGTAATCTCGCAAGTCATTCCGTATACGCCACTCTTGCCAACGCCGACACCACCAGCCAACATACCGGTTTGTTTCTTCCCGGAATCTCTTCGGGTCAGGGCAAACGGATCAGGCTTGCAAGCAGCAACTCAAAGCCTGCCGACGACGACTCTGTACTCCACCATGACGGAACCGTCGATCCCCCATTATAGGAGCAGAACCAGCGGAGATCCCGGTCCATCCAACTCCGATCCGTCAACTGGTGTGACCCCTATCCCAGCAGGGCCGTCAATCCCACATTACAGGAGCAGGAATGGTGCAGAAGCCGGCCCATCAAGTTTCATGCAGGACGCCAGACGGAATGGGCCCAGCGTGTCATTTCTAGAACCTCAACTGCGACGCTATGACGGATTTGACGCGTTACTAGCATCGACGTTTCCTGAAAGACGTCCTGAAATGATCTTCACTCCATCATCAATCTGTCATGAAGTCAGCCAGATGGCAGCACCGACATCGTCGTTTCCAGTTCCCCTCCATCCGGATATGGCAGATCAGATGGCTATATTGAGGGAGCAAATGCGACCGATGCAGGACAAACTCAACGGATTGCCAGGGGTACCAACGCCCTTGGGCAGAGCGTCACGAACGTGTTATGAAGATTCACCTTTTGACGATTCGATCATTCGTGTCCAGCTGCCGAATAAATTTGACGTACCAACCATGGAGCCATTTGACGGAACCACGGATCCTGGAGAACATGTCGCACGGTATAAGCAAGTGATGTCGACCATCTCCGTTAGACTTGAACAGAGAGAGGCATGTATGTGTCGGGGATTTGGCATAACACTGGCTGGTCCCGCTTTGACATGGTTCGTCAATCTTCCGAATAGAAGCGTCGGTTCATTTGCCGAACTCGTCAATCTTTTCAATCGACAGTTCGCGAGTAGTAGGGTATTGGAAAGACGGACCAGTGACTTGTATCAAGTCACACAGAGGCATGGTGAATCAATTAGAGATTATTTGCACAGATTCAACGTAAGGAAGGTGTCGATCCCAAAATGTGACGTCTCTACCGTCATTGAAGCATTCAGAAGAGGTTTATATGAAGATTCAGAGCTATACCGAGAGCTGACGAAATACCCTTGTCGATCCTTCGAAGATGTCCAAGCAAAGGCATTGGCTTTCATCCGTCTAGAAGAAGACTTACGATCCCGTCTTGGACATGTTGAGCATGAATGGGGGCACGGGAAATCAGAATCTCCTAGGAGGCTTGATTACAAGTCTGGGAAACCTTATTCAAGACCCGAGGAACGAGTCGTCATTCCATGACGAAATGAACAAGACAAAGTGATTGAAATCGTCAGACGGGGGGCACATCGTCCGATGATAGACAGATTCTAAAGAGCTACAATACGGTACCCTTAAAAGTTGTTTCATTTTTAGTTTGTTACTTTCTTTCGCATATTGTCGTCAATTCCGTGACGAGTCACTTCTGTGACGGATCGCTTTCGTGACGAATCACTTTGATGACGAATCACTTTCTTGACGAGTTACTTCCGTGACGAGTCATTTCTGTGACGAGTCACTTTCGTGATAACTCACTTCGGTGACGAAATGATTGAAATCGTCAGACGGGGGGCATATCACCCTACGGTAGACATGTTATGGTGATAACTTATCTAGATTGGTATACATATTCTTAATCTATTATTTTCATTTATCTATAAATGATCACCTACTAACTTAATCATCGGAGGGCCATTGGCTTAAGGCCAACGACCAACCCTAACAACGTTTTGAGTACAGAAAACCAAACGAGACGCCAAGTTTAATGAAGCACCATCAGTAAGTTACTTTAATACGTCACAGGTCCTTGTAAGTTCATTTAGAAAACAATGACGTATCGAGTACGACGAATCTGTCAAAGCGTCATGGTCATTGGTCAGTCTGTACGTCACTTTGAGGTCTTGTCTTACTTTGACCCCTGACAGATCAGTGAGTTTAATCTGAAAAATCTCATATCATTTATAAAACCGAGTGAATGATTTAGAATAGATTGAGTCTAGTTAAAATTTGGTTTCTTTAATAATCTATGCATTTTCCTTTGAGTTATTTTGTACATGATTAACCTATCTCATTTCTAAGCTTGAGTTCAATAAATTTTGGATCCTTTATGAAAACATTATGTGGTCATCTTGTTCATAGAAAGTTGTGACGTATTCGGTGTAGAGTATACATTTCCGCTTCAAGATATATTCATTGCTTTTACTGACTTAATCATCAGAGGGCCGTTGGCCCAAAGCCAACGGCCAGCTTTGACGGTTTTTAATGGATGCAGGACTATCTCGACGCATAAGACCAAGTAATTATTGAGGCAACTAGGATTTCAACCATGCTCATGCCAGTTACATATTATACACTGACATCAACTGGGAAAGGGCTGGGCTGCCCATGAGAAGATCATGGATAACAGTCCCAGTCGGCCCTTACAACATATATATTTTTTGGCCAAAAAATACACACGTATATGACACCGCACGTGCAACCAAAACATATATGACAACGCGCGTGCAACCAAAACATATGTGACAACGCACGAACAACAAAAATACAGAACTACACAACAGAAGCACATGCTCCAACATAAGGAGATAGTACAAACGAAAAACGTAACGCTGTTTAAAGCTTTTGCAGGGTATGGATCAAGTTCACACAACCCAAGTCGTCATATTCAACTACAGACAGAATCACCCATGTCAACTGAAGTGTCGACATCAATCTGGACGAAGCTGTAACTCGTCAGCACTGCCTAGATTTGGAAGAAGAGCATAGGAGATCAGCCCTCGTTCTTCATTGCTTCAGTCAAATAGACGGATTCGATCAAAAACTACTTGCAAGTAAAATGACGAGTTGGCGGAAGCGTCTTATTTGAAGATTGACGGGTTGGCGAAAGTGTCTCGCCGTTCAAGTGACAAGTTGACGGGAGCGTCTTATATGAAGATTGACGAGTTGACAAAAGCATATCGATCGCCAGATGAGTGACATGTTGATAGAAGCGTCGCCTCATACAAATGACAAGTTGACGGAAGTCGTCCCGTCAGACGGGTGACGAGTTGAAGAAAGCATCTCACCCGACAAATGACGGATTGGTGGAAGCGTCTCGACATACGAGTGACGGGTTGACGACATGTCAGTGAGATGACGAGTTGATGGGCAATGACGACAAGTTTAAGTTCTTTCAAATTTCGACAAGTTGATGCTCGACGGGTTGACATGTGCGTCCCTACGCCTCAACTTCTCGAAAGGGGACAATTGTTGGGACGAGAATTGTTACTAGGATGGCCCATGTTCCACACGTGTCCTATTTTTGTTATTGTTCATCAATTAGAAGAGACAAAGCCCACGAGAGGATAAGAAAGATGGATAAGGATGGATTAGTAAATGGAAAACAAATTGCTGATAGGAGTGGGCAACTACTTTCACGTAACAAGGGGAGTGGGAGCTATTCTGGCGGACAGTTGGACAACACATGGAGATTGGGATTTTAGTTTAAATAGGAGATCATTTCTTACGATCAAATGGATTGACCAGCACTATAGAGAAATCAATCGAATTCATCAATTCAATATTTACTTTCTGTTATTAATTCTTGTTATATTTTCTTGTACGATTCCCTTTCGATTATTTAATTGTTAGAAGAAATTATCAATTTCTTGCCTAAACATATAGTTACCTCTAATTTCATGCCTTTTTTAAAGAAAAAATGAATGGAACATCTTCTAAATGAATAAAAACAGCTCCTAATATAGTTAGCTCTAATTTCATGACTTTTTTAAAGAAAGGAATACACATATGAACACAAGTGTTTCCACACATGTATGAACCCAAACTTTTCCACCATTATTCTCTATATGGCCATCTTCTCCGGTCACTGCTTTGATTTTCTTAGTCTTTTTCTTTCCATACAACATTAGTGAATTAGTTCTACGCTATTATATACTATTTCTGTCTGGTTTAAATGTTTCATTGCAAATTGATACGATTAGAGAATATTGCTTGGAATAGAACTAAAAAGGTTCGAAAAATTCCAAAATAGTACTGTCATGTTTTTTTTCCCTAAAATAGGTTTAATCACTGCCATGTTTTGGCAGTATCAGACTTCAAACATGGGACAATATTTTCCAAACTTGATAGTAATTAGTCTTATTTTGCGAATAAAAACATGACAGTCCTAGCTATTTTGGAATTTTCAAACTGTTTTAGTCCTATTTCGGGAACTTTCCCATACGATTACATATACAATTATTAAATAACATAATCAAGTACTACCTCCGCCCCGCTAAAAACTTCCTACTTTGACCTACACACATATTTAGGAAATAAATTTGACTTTACTGTAGAATACACTGTTTCAACACTGTTTGACACTATTTGACATAGTTTTGCACTGTTTGACACTGTTTTGATGTAGGATAACTTTCCAGTTAGGGAAATGAGAAGATCATTTTGAGACGGCTATAAAAGGAAAACATGAAAATCTTAGCGCGCGGGACGGAGAGAGTATATTTTGAGAACTAATTTTAATGAATACATTTATTGTTTTTTATTTTTAATATTTAATGCTTAAATTGTCATTTAATAATGTTATTTTTCACAGTAGGAACGAAAACTTTTATCTAGCGAAAAAGAAAAGAGAAAAGTTTTTATAAGGGACACATGAGTAGTATGTTTGTGTTTTTACTATAGGGAAAAGAGGCAAAAATGACCCTAATGTTTTCTTCTAGGGAGAGATATGACCCTAAACTTTTTTTGGGGTGAAATAGGTTTAGGAATTAAGTTTTTTGAGGATCCAGGCACCTATTCTAGGCACCTATTCTACGAACGTGGCATGGGTACAGCTACTAACTAACGTAAGATTTACTCCGTATAATAAAATAATTTTTTCTCTCTCAATTTTTTTCCGTGGAATACAACTAAACAAGTATCAACAATTTCTTACTCTCTCTAATAATAACTTAATTTGAAATAAAAAGAGAGATTCATCCAAATAGGACTAAAACAAGGTAGAATTGCAAAAATAGGACTACTATGTTTTAGTTTATAAAAATAGGACTAAAAAGATGTAATCTGGCAAAACTACCCTCTGCAATCCATCGCTGCAATTTATCTTCCACCTGCAATCAGTCGCTGCAATTTATCTTCCACCGCAACTCATCTTTCGCGATTCTTTGCTCTGCCATGGCCTTGCTCCGCATCGATCGTGGCCTCGCAGCGACGTAGCACTGCCATGGACGACCTCTGATCTGCTGCAATAGCCAAGAAAGGTACGTATTCTTCTCCTTTTTCTTCTTCTTCTTCCTCTTGTTCTTCTTCTTCTCAGTTCTCTGCTTTTTTTTTAAATTTTTTATCAATCAAATTTTAAATAAAATTTTGAACTTTGAAAGTTTCAAATGAGGATATATCTGAACTTGAATTTCTTATTATCAATTTTTATTATTTTGAATCTCAAAATGCTCTGTCTAATGATTCCAGAAAATGTCACTTTTTGAATAGGAGAATGTCATAATTGTTGGGTATTTTTACAAAATGCCACTTTTATGTCTTTACAGTATTTGGAAATGTCATATTGAGAATGTCATGTTTCTATACGAAATTGTCATTATTGTCATATTAAGTGGCATTCTTAAAACATGTCATTTGCATATGGAAAAATGTAAGTTTCAAGCTATCCTTAAATGTCATATAAAAAATAAACATGTCAATTTTTAAAAAATGACATCTTGTGTACTGTGATGTTAAAATAATGTTGGAACTTTGGAATAGAAAGATGACATTTGCAGTTATTAAAACATGTCATTTATTTTTAAATGATGGAATTTTTGAATTAACATGTCTAAAATAATATGAAATTCAAAAGAAGCACAAAACAGAGAAGAAAACAGAGGGGGGAAGAAGAAGAACAAGAAGGAGAAAGAGGAGAAGAAGAACAGGAAGAAGATGATGAAGAAGATGAAGAGGAGGAGGAAAAATACCTGATTTTGTTGGAGAAATTGTTGAAGATGTGGATGTTGGCGTGGAGCAGGCAACTCCGTTGAAGAGGTGGCGGAAGAGGAGGGCTGAATCGTAGGGGTATGATCGAAATAGGTCAAGCTGCGTACATGGCACCTCATCAGTCGGAAGAGGAGGGTTGAATCGCAGGTGCAAGATCGATGGCAGAGGGGTTGGGGAAACGTAATTTTGGTATTAAGGGGTAAGAATGTAATCTGGAGTCCTATTTAAGCAATTTAAAACTTAAAGTCCTATTTTGGAGTTTTAACCATGTTTTAGTCCCATTTAGGATAATTACTTAAATAAAAAATATAAAGCGACTTCAACGTCCAAATTACAAACTCATTTAAATTAAAATTAAACAGGGCCGTACAAAAATAACATGAAACAAACGATTGAAATATATGCGTAGTAATAAGTTTTAATACAATTTAGGATTTATCTTTTTTTCAATACAATTTTTGAAACATATAATGGAGATATGACCCTAAACTTTTTTGAGATGAAATTAAGGGTGGAAAAACATGTATAGAATCTTATATGGACTTAGAATCTCTTTTTAATATATCCATGAATATGAAGAAATTTCGGACTGTGAAGTATATTGTAATAAATATAATAGATTTTTATTAAAAAATAATAATAAAATGGGTCGGTCCGGGTATCCATTTCTTTACATTTCCATATATCAATACGGTTCCTAAATTTTACAAGACCCGCCGCGCCGTGCCCTGTTTAGGGTTTATAAAATTAAGACCTGACCCTAACCCGCCCTGAAAACTGTATTACCCGACCCGCGATTTTTGTACCTGTTTGCTGACCCCTAATTTCACCCCAAAAAAGTTTAGGGCCATATCTTCATTATATATTTCAAAAGTTGAATTTAGAAAAGCTAATTCCTAAATTGTATTCAAAACTTATTACTACGTATACATTTCAGTCATTTTTTCCATGTAATTTTTGTAAGGCCTTTTTAAATTTAAATCAAAGTAAATAAATCACCTTGCAATTTTGACGTTGAAGTTACTTTATATTTTTTATTTCAAATTAATTTATTAGAGTAAGACCTAAGAAATGGTTGTATTCCAACAAAAAAGAATAAAATTGTTATATTTCCAAGTCTTACGTTAGCGAGTACCCACGTTAGTGGAAGAGGTGCCTGGATCCTCAAAAAACTTAATTCCTATACCTATTTCTCCTCAAAAAAAGTTTAGGGTCATATCTCCTCCTAGAAGAAAACATTAGAGTCACTTTTGCCCCTTTTCCCTTACCTGTATCGTGAAAGGACCTTTACCAAAACGGACCTTTACTATATCGTGAAAGGAACAGTTGCTGCTTTAGTGACCTGGCATAGAGAACACGTCAATTGCACACGTGGACAGAAATGATTGGGTAGGTCAAATAACAATCACCGCTGCTAATTTCCCCCTCACGGCGTCGCATTCTTCACTTCTGCTGGTGATCCGCGGCATCACCGAACTCCGCCTGTCAAGAGGTCCTCATCACCGTTCTCCCGCCTTGCCCGCGCAGACAAATACAAGTTCTGGATTGATATATCTCATTTTCATGTTATTTCAGCCTCAGAAGATCTTCGCCGATCTGATCGCTGAGTGGGGATTTCGGTTCCCGACTACAGTTTCATCTTGCCGATTTTCATCTCATTTGAGTCTCTCCGCGTTCAATGCTTAAAATTTCATCTCAGCTAAGAGAACATCACAGAGTTTAAGGTTGTTTCAACGTATGATCCAGGATTTATTCTTCATTAGCAACAAGGCAAATCAAAATACAGCGACCAGGGTCGGGGGGTGACTTGCCCAAAACCGGCGAGTTCAACCCTTTTCGTGTGGCTCAAAGGACAAATTCCTTCCAAACTGTTCCAATGGATGATGATATCGAAAGGTTAGGAGGCCCTTACCAGGAAAGGCCTAGAACATTTCCAAACATGCGCAGCAAATCTCAAGCACCATGGGTAAGTTTGGGATGTTTATACTACACATCATTTCCCTGTATGTGGATACATAAATCATCCAACTGCATTTTACCTTGTTTTTACACTACTGCCTAATCCAATTTGTTGGCTTATTGCGTTACTCCCGGATTCAGAGTTAACCTTATTCTTTTCACACAAATTACTACTCAGAGACAAAGTAGTGGAATCCTTGGCCATTCTAACTTCGAAATAATCACCTGTAAAACCTGTACATTTTTTGGACTCCTAATCTTGTCTTCATCATGTTTCCAGAAATTCAAAGATCAAGTTTGGAGCTATTGTTTTGTATGTTATTTTTTTGAGTATAACTGTAACAGTCATAAGATGTTCTTTCTCAGAAATTCTTATATTTATGTTTTAGAGAGGAGAAGTGAAGAACCCTGTCACAATTTTCTAAAAAGCGAAACCTGATTTGGAAAGGGACTTGTTTGGCATGAGCTCCCCCTCCCTCCCTCTCTCTCTCTATATATATATATATCTGTATATGTGTTTGTGTCATTCTAGAACTGAGTCTGTATGGCTGATAATTTGTGCAGTTTTTTCGCATTCTCATGAGGATGAATGTTCGAGTCCTTTTAGTGCTTCTGCTCCTGTGTATTGGTGTCGTCTTTTACATTGGCGCAAGCACCTCTCCGATCATTGTATTTGTGTTCTCAGTTTGCATAATCAGTTCCTTCTTGTCAATTTATCTCGCTAAGTGGGTTCTTTTAAAGGATGAGGGACCTCCAGAGATGTCTCAGGTACAATTTTTATGATATGTTCTTATATTTTGCTGCTGGCGCCATACTTTTTGTTCTGTTTGGTTGCAATAATAATAACGCTTTGTTATTCTGACAACGTAATTGGAATGCCATCAAGAACTTTTTCTAAATAATGTTTATTCCTAAATTTGAAATACATGTAAAAATCTGGTAATATATTTCGTGTACACTTGGGCCTTTTCTTAAGTTGTTATTGAATCTGTACCTAGTACCTACTACTTTAATTGGTCAAG